GGCCGTCTTGGAGGCCATCTTTGGCGTCTGGGAGGCCATCTTGGGCGTGTTGGAGGCCTCTTGGGCCCTCTTGGGGCCCTCTAGGGGCCATCTTGGAGGCCACTTGGGCCATCATGGGGCTCTCTTGGGGGCCTCTTGGGCGATATTGGGGGCTTCTTGGGCCGTCTTGAGCCGTCGGAGAGCCGAAAAGGCGCAAATGCCAAAATCCTTCAAAAACCAAGGGAAAATCAATGATTTTGGCCTCTTCGGACTCTCCTGGAGGACCTCTTGGAGGCCTCTTGGGCCGTCTGGGAGGCCTCTGGGGGGCCTCTTGGGCCGTCTTGGGCCGTCTTGGACTCTCTTGGGCCGTTTTGGAGGCCGTCTTGGACCATCTCGGGCGGACTTGGAGGCCATCTTGGGCCATCTTCGCGATTTTTTGAGGATGTCCCGAGCGAAACGGCCGTTTTTTGGAGGATTGTTTTCCGGATTGAGGTCCTTTCGGCTTCCTCCCGGGACCCCGGCGGGACGGGCCGGAGCCCACTGGAGAGTTCTTTTAGAAAAAGAACCAAAACCAAAACCAGCTCATCCAGCACGCCGTGCACCCCTGCAAGCAGGGGGCGGCGGATCTGGTGGCTTTCGGCCCATCCCGCCACCGTGCCTGGGTTGAGAGTTAGAGGCCGCTTGGATGTTTGAACATCGTGGGAGGCTTCTCGGGGGCCTCTCGGAGGCAGTTTTGAAGCCTCTTGGGGGCTGTTTTGGGGCCTCTTTTTGAGCTTCTTGGGGGCCTCGCGGCCTCTAAGGGGCCTCTTGGGGCTCTCTTGGGGGCCTCTTGGGGCCTTCCGGGAGCCTCTTGGGGCGGAAGGCTCGAATTGTCCGTTCGTGTTCCCCCTCTTGGGGCCGTCTTGGGGCCATCTTGGGCGATCTTGGGCGCATCTTGGGCCATTTTGGGGTCCTCTTGGACAGTCTGGGAGCCCTCTTGGAGGCCTGTTGGGCGGTCTTGGGGCGGTCTTGGGGGCCTCTGAGGCCATGTTGGAGCGTCGGAAGCCCGAACACGCGAGAACGCGAAAAACATCAAGCAACTCAAGGAACATCACGGATTCCTGCCTCTTGGGCTTTTTTGGGGGTTCTCTTGGAGCGCTCTCGGGGCTTCGTTGAGGCCTTTCTGGAGCGTCTTGGGACCATCTTGGGCGTCTTGAAACGCTCGTGGGCTTTCTTGGAGGCCTCTTGGACCCTCTTGGGTGCTTTCTGGGGCCCTCTCGGCCCGTCTTGGGGCCCTTTGGCCGATGGAAAAGTCATACGAGTCAGCCCCGGAATGCGCGGGAACGCCCAGGAAATCTCGGAATGTGGGGCCTCAGCTCTTGGAATATTGTAGTCCCAGAGTCCTGAGTACAGGGAAAGTGTGGAGCCCTTGAGGAATTGGGGAGAAAACCACTTCGTGCCTCGAGGCACGGTGGCGGATAGTGGGGAAAATTTGAAGGTTTGGGTAAGCTTAGTTAGTCTCAACACATACGTTAATCAGCTGTCGAATGTTATAGTGTTCAGTGACTATGTTTTGACTTGTACCGTCTTGATCGGCCTTGCTTTGCCTTACTTTGTCGCACAACACGCTGCGTTGCAGCTCCAGGGCGGGGCATGCCATTTCTATTGCTTTGACTGTCCTGTGTTGGTTTGCTGGCATGTGCATTGGTGCGTTTCGATGCGAAACGCTGCGTTGCGTTTGTTTTGCGTTGCGTTGCCTTGCACGGCAACGCAAAGCATCGGCATGCATACCACATTGAAAGACAGGCACAAGCGTGCTGCAACACAGTGTCGCGCAAATGAAAGCGCACCCGCTTAAGCAGCAGCAGCGCAATGCGCAGCAACACGAAGCGCTATGATTCAAGCAGGCTCGATGCAACGCAATGTACGGCGAACAGCACCATAACAACACCGCTGCAACAATACAAAGCGAACGACGCTACGCCATGTGGTTCAGAGCAACGTCTTGCAGCGCAAAGTGTTGCGATCGTGCTTTGCACAGCAGCGTCATGCATCTCAAGACAACGCAGAACTACACAACCCACGGCATTGCATCATATGCAATTCAGGGACTTCTGTGGATGTTCTTGGCGATCTAGAATAGTTGTGGAATTTGGGCGAACTGTTTACAATTTCTCCAGGAGTTCCAGAATTCGGAATTCCCAGATTCTGTCTCGCCTGCGCATTGTGTGTGTGTGAGGGCTCCACGTCATATCTCCTCTGACGGCCCGCGAGGGAGGCCAGGCCCCCCCCCCAAAAGAAAAGAGTCGGCAGCCCGTCGACATAGCGACCCCCATCGTCGCCCCCCCCCCCCCCCCCGCGTTGAACCCACCTCGTGGCCCCCCCCCCCACGCCGTGGCCCTCCAGGCGGCACGCCCCTCGGTGGCCCCATCGTTGGTCGCGTCCCGTCCTTGGCACCAGCGCCCCCCCCCCCTCGTTTGGCCAACCTGTCCCGCGGGGGTGAGGCGTCCCCCCGCTCGAGGGGCCCCCTCCCCCGCCGTGAACCACATCACCGCGCCGAAGCCGTGGCACCCCGCCCCCCCAGGGACCTCCCCCCTGTGGACCCCGTCGTGGCACTCAGGCAGAGGGCCCCCCTCACCTCCCCCCCCCCCCCCGTGCGCCTCCCGCGCGCGGCCTCCCATCGTTGGCCTCCCACGCGCGCCCTCCCACGCGCGGCCGCCCCCTCCCCCCCCGTCGCGGCAGCCTCCCCGTCGTGAGCAGCGGCGCGGCGCGCTGCCCGGGGTCTGCCGCAGGGGCGTCGTCCTGCACAGCTCCTGGTGCGCCCTGCCTGCGAGAGCGGGGCGCCGACGAAGGAGCCCTTTTCGTTTGGGAGGGGCTCCGTTCTCCCCCATGGTTTCACCGTTTGCCTCAGGTGTTCCTGAGGTCTTCGACGGGATATGGAAGTCCAACTCATAGGAAACAGGGGCTTCGTTCCTTCTTTAGGGTTCCTGAGGTCGACGCCCCGACTGTAGGTCCGGCACCCTTCTCAGCACAAGGTCTGGGACCGAAGTGCTGGTGCCATGCAGAAGACTGTTCGGCAACGCGTTTGGCGAAACTGGAAGAATCCAGACCAGGAGGTCGAATGATCGGATGGGTTCTGCGGGTCCTGGGAAATCACAGATGGTATGAAAGGAACTCCCAGATTGGCTGGCATCCGTTGACTGGGACTCCCAGAGCCGTTTGAGCTTCTATATTTGAATAGAACATATATACATACATACACACATGCATGCATGCATCCATCCATACATCAATCCATCCATACATACGTACCTACATACATATATACACACATCAACACATCCATACATACATGCACACACACACATCGATACATTGATACATCGATACACCGACACATGCATACATACACATACGTACATACACACATACATACATACGTACATACATACATACATACAATCATACATACATACACGCATACATACATACAAAACACACACATACATACATCCACGCATGCATGCATTCATGCATGCATGCATACATTCATACATACGTGCGTACATACACACATACATACATGCACACACACATACACATATATGTATATACACACATACATACGACCATACAAATGTGCATACATACATACACACATATACACATACATGCATACATACATGCATTCATACATCGATACATACATGCATACATACATACACAATACATACATACACCTACACAGATACATACATACACACATACATACATACATACATGCATGCATGCATACGTACATACATACATACTTACTATACATACATACATACTATAAATTCAGTTCCACATACATACATACATACATACATACATACATACACATACATACATACATACATACATACATACATACATACGTACACGCATACATACATACGCACATACACATACACACATACATACATACATACATACATACATACATACATACATACATACATACACACATACACACATTCATATCTACATACATACAACCATACATGCATACACACATGCGTACATGCATGCATGCATGCACGCATGCATACATACATACACGCATGCGTGCATGCATGCGTGCGTACATACATACATGCACGGCAAGTCCATACATATGCATACCTACACATGCTCGTATGTATACACAGGTACCTAGATATGTAGACAGGCACGCACACAACAGACAATTCTGCGCATGCTGTGTATGCATTGCACAGTCGCACATGTGCTTGGCGTGCGCATCTCATTGTGATCGTGTTCGGCTCCATCTGGGTCGGGGTGGCGGTGGGGTCTGGCGGGGCTGCCCGCGGCATCGGGGGGGCCCGAGGGGGGGGCGGCCTGGTGGGTGGCTCGAGGACACGGGTGCTGGCTTGAGGCGCGCAGAGGTGGCTCGGGGCGCGGGGAGCGGCGGGGGTACCAGGGCCCCAACGGCGGTGGTGCGGTTTGGATTGTGCAGATCGTTCGCTGTGAAGTGCCCGGTGCCGCAGCGGCTGTCTCTCTTGTTTGAAGGTGCTCTCGGTTCGAGGACACGCCCCTCACTCCCATGATACACGTTCTGTTCGCGTCCGCGGGGACTACGAGGAACTCGGAGGTGGGATGGGCGGCGGGATAGCCCAACGACAGTCAGCGTGGGATCGTCGCGGGCGAGGCACGGTGCACTGGAGCAGACGCGTGATGGGCCCCGCGGGGCTCTGAACGCGGGGTTCGGGAGAACTTGCCGACCATGGGAGGGGTCCTTCCGACTCCCTTCTCCTCCTTTACCTCTGTTGCATATTCTCGGAAGCCGGGCAAGGGCTGCTCAATCCGTGGCTGCTAAAATCGACCTCCTGGAAGTTGTCTTCGTCCTTCCGGGAAGAAGCCCGTTGACTGTTTCGTATGCCGCGCCTCATTCCGGGAAGTTGTTTTTTCCTTCCGGGAGGGCCGTTTTAGCAGCCACGGTTTTAGCAGCCCTCGCCCAGCTTCCGACCTCTGTTGCATATCCTCCCGCGTGCAGTCAGGTCGTACCGTGACCTGATCGACCGGCTGCTGTGGGGCGAGGATCTTCTTCCAATTGCCCTGCGCTGCTTCTCAGCGGCCCTGCAGCCTCCGCGGCGCCTGCAGGTGATAGTCACGGCTGTGCACTCGCATGCGCTATGTTCGGGCGAAGAGAACTATGCACATGCACCGATCCTGGCAAGGCCCATCCTTGACCCAGGATCGGTGCATATGCCTTCCTGGCCAAGGCAGGAGGGCGTATGCACCGATCCTGGGTTCAGGATGGGCCTGGCCAGAATCGGTGTATGTGCATTGTTCTCTTTCCTCTATATGAAATGTGGTAGCGTGCGTCCGCTCACGTAATTAGGCATCAGTCTGCTTCCAGCAGGGTCCAGCTATGAGGGCTTCTGATCGTTTTTCAACGGCCGCTCCAAGGTCGTAGGATTCGAGCTCACGCCAAGAAGCTACGCCAGAGGACAAACCTCCGAAATTGAACGCGGCACTCGTATTCAGCGCTTGCGATGGGCCGCTCAAAAGCTACCTATACAATGCCATGCTGCTTGAACCATTTGATCATGGACACCGCAATCGGGATAGCCCCGTCACGTTCTTGCCGAGCTGTGTCCGCCCCCAGGCTTCCAAGTAGGCCCACCATGCCCCCCCAAGAGGGTCCGAGGACGTGTCCCTGGGACCATCTTAGAGCAGGCTGGCACTCGGGCGAGAAAGCCCAAGAGCGCCCAATGATTCCGTGAGCTGGGTGTCTGGGCACTGCAATCTTGTATACGTGATTCGGTTCTCAATGCGCAGAGCTTGCGGGATCCTGGCGACACTACGCTCAGTGCCTCGCGGTGCCGAGTTCTCAGGGTGAAGGGCATATGTTAATCTGCACTGCTGAGTTCCGGACGCATAAGCAACGTATCCAGTGGCCTTCGGCCTATCGTGCGATCGTGCCTGGGCTGGGGGCCAGAGTCCTCTTGGAAGCCTCTCGGGGTCTCTTGGGACGCCTCCTGGGGGCCTCATGGGGTCCTCTTGAGGGGGTGATGGGTTCTTGAGTGCGTCGGGGGGCTGCTCGGAAGCCTCAGTGGGCCTCTTTGGCGCCTCTGGGAGCCTCTTGGTGGTCTCGGGTGCCGTCCTGGCACTACCGGGCTCCCAGGGCAAGTTCGCGTTCCCCCCGCAAGGGCCGAGAACAGTGAAGCGCATAGTTGTTTTCATGTATTTCCGAGGAGGAGAAGGAGGAGGAGGAGGAGGAGGAGGAGGAGGAGGAGGAGTGGAGGAGGAGGAGGAGGAGGAGAGAGGAGGGGGGGGGGAGGAGGCCACCCCTGGGCAAGAACAGCCAGGAGCTCGAGGGTCTGCGCCCCTCGCAGAGAGTATTCACTATGAGCTCCGAGGGGCCTGACGACGCTCGCAGGCCCAGTGGTTGGCACCAACACCTCCTCCTGCTCCTCCTCCTCCTCCTCCTCCTCCTCCTCCTCTCTACTTTCTCATACTCCTGCTCCTTTTTACGCCTCCTCCTCCTCCTCCTCCTCCTCCTCCTCCTGCCCTGGTGGTCTCGCGCCGTGGGGCGGGGCAGCCGTCGGACGACGGCCCTCCCCGCGGCCCCGGGGGGGCCTCCGAGGGCGGGGCGGTGGCCCACGCGGGGGTCCGCACGGCTCCGCCGACGCGCGCGGCTCCGCCGACGCCGACGCTCGGAAGAAGATCCCAATCTCGGTGATGGTGGTAATATTCTGGCTTCCAAGGCGACCGAAGTATTACCACCAACACCGAGATCTGGGATCCTCTTCCCCCTGTGGAGGACCCCCCCTGTTTTGGTGTCGGTGCCCCTTTCCAGGCCTCCAAGACACTTCACGCAGTGCCCACGGCACGATGCTGGATATCGGAGGCACGGGTGCCGCGTGAGAGCGAATGTCGAACATAATTTCGTGGTACGTCGACGTCGGAAGTTCAATGAGGGCACCCTCAAGATAGCCACATCCGCTTCCTGGTGAAGCTGGGGTTCCCCTTGTCAAATTAGGGCGTGTTGCTCATAGTGAGGGTTCATTGCCAAAAACCAGGGGGATGTGATGTTCGAGGTGGAGGCCATTTCCCATCAGTTGTGAAGCTGGCGGCTGTCTGTGTCCGAGCTGAATTTCGCTGCCTGTCCTCGCGCTCCCTGTCTCCTCGGGGATCTATATATACATATATATATGTGTGTGCGCGCATAACATAATATATATATACACATGAATATATATATATATATATATATATATATATATGAATATGAATATTTAAAAACAAAAACCACACAACAAGCTTCATGGGATGCCGATGCCGCGCTCACGTCGTATGTGGTCCCCACGGACCCAGGGTGGGGCTTCCTGGCACCCTCGGGTGCCGATCTAGGGACTGGGGTGTCTTGGTGGACGTCCTGCCTCTCGAGGGACGAACTATGAGGAACATCCTGGAGGCCTCACGCGGCGCGCAATAGTAGTGCTATCTAGTCTTGTGGAGGACGCTCAATGTAGAGGAAGCATGCTGCCAAATAATTTCCCAGATGTCCAACACATGTTTTAAACATGTCTTCAGCATGTGTTTTAAGCACTGGAAAAAAGCATGTTTGGGACTTTGTTGCATCACATTCTGAACACATTTAAAATTTGACTGTTAGGGTGTCCAGTGTCGTAGCATCCACAAATCTAGTCCACACGTCAGCTCCGTAAGCTATGGGTCGACTGAATCCGACGTAATTGGCGACGTAGTCCGACGTGAACCCGACGTACATCTGGCGTGGATCCGATCTGAACCGGGTCTCAAGTTGCTGCGCGGGGCCTCCAGGATCTTCTTCATAAGACAGCGCGCGGGACCATGACCAAGATGTCGAGGGGTCAGGTCGACGCCGACCTTGATCCTGGTTTATGCCAGCCGTCGCCAATTGGCGAGTCTGGTCCACGAGCTGGCGTTGACCAAGATGGGCGGTGACCACGATCGATACAGCGTTTCCACGGTCAGTCTTGGTCATGGTCCCCGTGTTTTCTTCTGCTCCATTTGTGGTGGACGTCCTGCCTTCCTGACCGGGCAGGCGCACCCCACGTCACACGCTGGGGGATCGCGGGCGCATATGCGCACATCGAAACTGGGCCACGGGCCCGCTGTGGCGCTCTGGCCGTCGTTTGCTCCTCATCCCATCCCGCCTCCCCCCTCGTCCCTCGCTTCTTCCTCCTCCTCTGCCCCATCCACCATCCCCCGCTTCGCTAGCAAATCATGGGAGCCTGGTCGACCAGCGTAATCATGTTTTTAGCGTCGACTAGCGTCGATTAGCGTCTAGGAGTGGACGGGATAGCGCAGATTTAGCGTCGCTTAGCGTCGATTAGCGTCGATTTGGCGTTGGTTAGCGTCGACTTAGCGGCCATCATGAGCTTACTGAGCGCTGCCGAGGTTCCGCAGGCAGAACCGCGAGGTGCGGGGGCCCTCGTTCCTCTACGCGGCGCCTTGCGCCCTCGACGCGGCCCCAGAGCGCCTCTCGGCTCGATCTCTCGGCCCCGCCGCCGGACAGGGGGCAGTGTGGTGCGGTGGACCGGCTGGATGACGGCGGTGGCGGCCGTGGCGATGGTGATGTCGAGGAGGATCATCGTGATGATGTGAATCCCCTGCCCGCCATCATCTACACATGGTTCATTGCTTATTATTCATTATTCGGAAGTTCTTCGATTCTCTGGGGGGCCAAAACCCTTTCATGTCTGATTCTTCTGTCCTGGGCCTCTTCTTGGCCACCAGGGGGCCAGGAACAATCTGAAACGAGCACAATTAGAAATGAGCACGATTCGAAATGAACGACGTGTACTCTTCTTGTCCATCGCCTCCAGTCACGCAACTCACAGAGCGACCCCTTCTCTTCCAGAGGGGGGTGAGGGGGACCCCTTCCCTCACAGAGGGGGGGCCTGCAATGGTTCTGCTATGCGGGCTTTTGGGTTACTGCTGATGGTGAGGGCGAGGACGAGGACGAGGATGATATTGCGAAGGCCTTACGGCCGATGCCGCCGACCCTGCAGGCAGCGACGACGAAGACAATGAAGGTAGAGGAATCCAAGATGCCCTCAGATGGCTCGAAGACGGCGCTAGATGCCTGAAAGGTCGTCCGAAGACAGTTCAAGGAGCCTCCTCCAGGATTCGGGAACGGCCCCAGTGAGTCTACTACACTCACAAGTCGCTAGTGGAATGGTCTGTGAGGCGCCAGTGCCGAGGGAACATGATGATGAATGATGATTATGATGCTGGTGATGATGCTGCTGCTGCCGATGATGAGTTCGATGATGATGATGCCGATGATGATAGTGATGGAAAGCAGCGTGATGATGTTGATGCTCATGATGGTGGTGATGATGATGGTGGTGTGATTGATGCTGATGATGGCGATGCTGATGACGATGTGATGGTGATGATGATGCTGACGATTATGCTGCTGCGGAAGAGGTTGATGCTGCGGAAGAGGTTGAGGACGAGGAGGATGACGATGATGCTGATGCTGCAGATGATGTTAATTATGATGTTGATGATGATACTGATGATGGTGATGATGACGATGATGATGATGATATTGACGATGATGATGCTGCTGAGGGTTATGATGATGTTGATGATGCTGATGACGAGGATGCTGCTGCTGACGATGAGGATGCTGATTATGCTGATGTTGCAGGTGATGCTAATGATGCTGATGATGATGATGCTGATGAATATGATGATGGTGCATGGATGATGATGCTGAGGATGAAGATACTGACGATGATGATGATGATGATGATGATGATGGTGGTGATGATGGTGATGCTGATGATGCTGATGGTGATGTTGATGCTGATGTTGATGCTGCTGCTGCTGATGGTGCTGCTCATGATGCTGATGCTGATGCTGATGATGTTGATGCTGATGACAATGATGATGCTGATGATGATGATGATGATGATGATGATGATGATGATGATGATGATGATACTGATGATGATGATGATGATGATGATGATGATGATTATGATGATGATGATCATGAGGATGAGGATGTGATAGGAGGATGAGGATTGAGATTGAGGATGAGGATGAGGATGAGGATGATGATGATGATGATGGTGATGGTGATGGTGAGGTGATGGTGATGGTGATGGTGATGGTGATGATGATGATGATGATGATGATGATGATGATGATGATGATGATGATGATGATGATGATGAGGAGGAGGAGGAGGATGAGGAGGAGGAGGAGGAGGAGGGGGATGAGGACGAGGAGGAGAAGGCTCGTGAACTCCCGCATGGTCTGCGGTATGATTCCGCGTTTGTTCTCCCCATGTGCTCTCCCGTGTGGTCTCCCGTATGGTTTCCCGCATGTTTTCGCCGTCTGACTTTGTCTCTTCTCAGATGTGGTGCACTGTCTCCGGTCTGCTCTCCTGTATGATTCCCCGCACGTTTCCCCGTACGCTCGGGGGTGAACAGAACCCCCACCCTGCCACGTCGATTAGCGAATTGACCATTTTCGGTTCTCGAAAGGGCGCCGCGGCCGTCATTTTCCAGGCTTGCGCCCGCCAGGTTTGGGCCCGAATTCGTTTTCACCAAACCACGTTGTACTAAAGGGTGTTCTGACCAGCCCCGATACGCGCATCACACCATAGTGCTCTCTTCACTCTGTACTTCTGATGTTCAGGTTCTGATTCCGCCAGGCTGCAATCTGGGACGACATCAGATGCTCATGGAGGTGTTCGGGGGTTCCTGGCAGGGTGCGGGCGGGGTTCTGGGAGCCCCAGGATGGAGGTCTCGTGGGCGTTGCTCGAAGGGCTTGGGCGGCCTCGCAGCATATCATGGCAGGGCCGAGGGCGCGAAGCCCGGCGCGCTCCGCTCCTCTCCCCGTCCCTCCCTTCTCCCCTCCTCCCTCTCCCCCCCCTTCCCCTCCCTCCCCTCCCCTGGCCTCGGCGGCCCGCCGGGGGGGGGGAAGTGAGAGGGGGCAGGTCTCCTCAGGGAACGGCGGTGCTTCTCGGAAGCCCTCCTCCCCCTCCCAGGGGGGGGCCCCGTCCGTGGCTGCAGGGGAAGGCCCAGGAGCCCTTCCCAGAAGGCCAGAGGCCTCCTGATCCTTCAGTCACGGCACGCCCCTCTGCTTTCCCCCCTGGGCGCGCCGCCGACTCCCCTCCCCTGCCCCTCACTCCCTCCGAACCACTCCCTTGACTTCAGGACGCGCGATGGCCAGTCGTGCACCGCACTCCCGCGCGGCAGAAGGTGCCCAGCTCCGCAGGCCGGCGGCTGTTTGTTGGTTCGAGGCCGCGCCCACATTTCCACAGACGCGAGGCCATCTGGGCATCCTGTTGGAGGGTTGCCTGGCACCAGCTGTACACCTACACCGATCCTGGCCGGGCCGATCCTTAGCCCAGAATCGGTGTCAGTATTGCATAATCCTTGGTCCGGGATGCACCTGGCCACGATCGGGGTAGGTGCATATTCGGCGTCCTCCTCAAATGGGGATGGCTCAGGTCTTGGGGAGCCCCGAGAGGGCTACAAGAGCGGCACGGGGACGACTAGAGATAGATCCAGTCCGAGAGTTGCAGGGACGGCATGAGCGGTGGGCGCATTCTGCCTGGGAGCAGCAGGGACGGGAGGAGGAGGATGAGGGGGAGGAGGAGGAGGAGGAGGAGGAGGAGGAGGAGGAGGAGGAGGAGGAGGAGGAGGCGGAGAGGGGAGGAGGAGGAGGAGGAGGAGGAGGAGGAGGAGGAGGAGGAGGAGGAGGAGGAGGAGGAGGAGGAGAAGGAGTAGGAGGAGGAGGATGCAAGCTCCAGCTTCCGCCTATTTGCGCAGCGTCAAAGGAATGAGGAGAGGAGAAGGATAAAAAAAGGGTGGCAGGAGGAGGAGGAGGAGGAGGGGAGGAGGAGGAATAGGAGGAGGAGGAGGCGGAGGAGAGGAGGAAGAGGAAGAGGGAGGAGGAGGAGGAGGAGGAGGAGCAGGAGGGGGGATGGGAGGGAGGTAGGAGGAGGAGGAGGGAGGAGGAGGATGAGGAGAGGCAGGAGGAGGAGGAGGAGGAGGAGGAGGAGAGGAGGAGGAGGAGGATGAGGATGAGAGGAGGAGGGGGGGAGGAGGAGAGGGGGGAGGGGAGGAGGGGGGAGGAGGAATAGGAGGAGGAGGAGGAGGAGGAGGAGGAGGAGGAGGAGGAGGAGGAGGAACTGGATAATGCGAAGGAGGTGGAGGAGGAAGAGTTGGAGGAGGAGGAGGAGGAGGAGGAGGGTGAGGAGGATGAGGCACGCTCTAGGCTTCTGCCTTGAGTTTGCGCAACGTGGAAACATCAGGATAATGATGGCGACCCTGCTGCTTATGATGATGATGATGCTGCTGCTCATGATGATGATGATGATGATGATGATGATGATGAGGAGGATGATGATGATGATGATGATGATGATGCTCAGACAGTCACGGTGATGATGCTGCAGATGATGAGATAATAACGGCGATGTTGCTGATGATGCTCATGGTGATGATGCGGATGCTAATGATCATGATGCTGATGCTGATGACGGTGATGATGGTGATGATGATGATGATGATGATGATGATGATGATGATGATGATGATGATGATGATGATGATGATGATGCTGATTCTGATGATGATGATGATGATTGGTGCTGATGATGTTGATGATGATGACTGATGATGAATGATGTATAGCTGATGATGCTGTATGATCTTGATGATGATGATGATGATGATGATGGATGATGAGATGATGATGATGGGAGGGAGGAGGAGCGAGGAGGAGGAGGGAGGAGAGGAGGAGGAGGAGGAGGAGGAGGTTGAGGGGGGGGAGGGGAGGAGATGGAGAAGGAATATGAGGGGAAGAGGAAGAGGAGGATGAAGGAGGGCGGAGGACGAGGAGGAGGAGGAAGAAGGAGGACGTGGAGGAGGAGGAGGAGGAGGTGGGGAGGCGTAGGAGGCAGGAGGAGGGAGTAGGGAGGGGAGGAGGAGGAGGAAGAGGAGAGGGAAGGAGGAGGAGGAGGAGGCGGGATGAGGATGTTGCTGATGTTGATGATGATGATGATGATGTAATGATGATGTTTATGATGATGATGGAGCGGAGGGGTGGAGAGGAGGAGGAGGAGGAGGATGGCTGGGAGGAAGGAGGATGGGGCGGTGAGGAGGATGAGGAGGAGGTGGAGGAGCGGGAGGAGGAGGAGGAGGAGGAGGATGAGGAGGAGGAGAGAGCAGGATGGAGCAGAAGTCCGAGGAGGGGCGGGAGGAGGAGAAGCGGGATGAGGAGGAGGGGGAGGAGGAGGTGGAGTAGGAGGAGGAACCTCATAACGCGAAGGACGAGGAAGAGGATGAAGATGAAGCGGAGGAGGAGGAAGTTGAAGAGGACGAGGAAGAGGATGATGATGCTGCTGATGATGATGCTGATGCTGATGCTGATGCTGATGCTGATGCTGATGCTAATGCTGGTGATGATGATGATGATGATGATGATGATGATGATGATGATGATGATGATGATGATGATGATGATTATGATGATGATGATGATGATGAGGAGAGGATGAGGGAGTGAGGATGAGGGATGAGGATGAGGATGAGGATGAGGATGATGATGATGATGATGATGATGATGATGATGATGATGATGATGATGATGATGATGATGCTGATGATGATGATGCTGATGATGATGATGATGATGATGATGTTGCTGATGATGATTATGATGATGATGATGAGCAGGAGGAGGAGGAGGAGGAGGAGGAGGAGGAGGAGGATAAGAAGCAGGAGGAGGAAGAGCAGGAGGAGGAGGGTATGGGAGAGAGTATTACTTTCCACCCCCTCCCTTTTCTCCGCCCCTCCCCCCCATCCCTCCCCCTTCTCCGTGCTACACAGGGGCGCAGGAGTGTGCGCCCCCGGGGGTCTGCCCCTCGACCGCAGCGCGGTCGGCGATCGCGCGGTTGGCGGTTCAGATCGGCGGCGAGGTCGGTGCGGCTCCCGTTGCGGTCGGGGTAGTTAGTGGGATGTCCCCCACCGACTCCGACTTCCTCATCATCCCTCCTTGCTCTAGCTCCTCCTCCTCCTCCCCCTTCTCCTCCCCCTCCTCCCTTTCCTCGGCCCTCTTTCCTCCTTCTTTCTCCCTCCTCGGCCCTTTTTGTTCTCCGCCTCCTCGTGCTCCGTCCTTTTCTCCTGTCGTCCCTGCAGTGCCGAGGACACGGAGCTGGACCTAGAAGACATCATCATTTGTTTCGGGCAGAAGCCCGTGGGCTCCTAGGCAGCGGGGGGGAGGGACTGCGCCTGGGCGCCGCCCGGACGGGGAGAAGGCGGGGGGGGGGGCAGGAAGGGGAGGATCTGGTTCTGACATCGACGGCATTCGAAGAAGAACAAGCGCCAAAAGTTTCTGCTCGTGGCGTTTTTTTTTTTTTTTTTTTTTTTTTTTTTTTTTTTTTTTTTTTCCATTCTTCAGTAAATCCCAGCCTTCGGAGGCGAGGTGTGGCCTGCCCGCCCGCTGCACCGGCCTCCGCGTCAGGCAGCCGCAGCTGTGGGGAGCCGGCTCGGGGCGTGAGGAACGCGGCGAGGGCCAGGAACACTCCAGATTTCGTAATAAAAGGGAGGGGGTCACAACCCTCCCAGACGAGAAGTTTTCAGACCCCCCCCCCGTGGGAGAACCCTCCAAAACATCGTCCCCAGACCCCCCCAGGCCCTCCAGGATAGCCTGGAAGAGACCCCCCCCGAAATGAGACCCCCCTCCCTTTATTACGAAATCTGGAGTACGCATGTGCCAGCGGGGCCTCCAGCCCACGGGCATCAAATCGGTCAGGCGGGAGCCCCATGTTGAGAATGAGCAGCCGCCGCGCCTCGGCGCGGCCACGGGCAAAGTGGAAGACGAGCGCTTGTGGTGCTAAAGCGGCATCCGCAGTCGGGAAAGCTCGCGCCGATCCGTGTGTGCAGCTGTTTGTTTCAACTCACAATGCGAATGTGAAAGGAACTACAGAGAGAGCCACGTGAAACAATCATCGGCGCGAACTCCGCCACTTTAGCTTGTGATTTCTTTGCGCTGAGTGCGCTCGGTGTTAGGGCGATGTTCACATTTTGGAAGCCGTCCTCCGTCCATCCATTCAGTTTGTTGTTGACAGTATCCGTGTTGGCATACATACGCCGCGAGGAATCGTCAGAAAAAGCGGCCGAGCTGCCCTACCGACACGCCTGCTCGCGCGACGAGGAAGACTGATCGAAGACTCCTACGGCGAACCCTGCGCCTGCTGTTGCCAAGTATTTCAGCGGTGATGGCAGACGGTGCTGGCGGTTCCGTGACAGGTTTTAGCCATGGAGTGCGATTGCATTCCGCAGCCATGTTCACCCCACGTGGTGGCGCACCGGCTGCGGGAACACATGGGCAGGGATTCGCAAAATTCCGTTCAACGCCACTTTTCTGCGGCCGGTAACCAGTGCTAGAAGACATGTCTTGCTCTTAACCAGCTTACGGACGGGTTCCTGTGGCCGTCTCTGGGCTTCCTTGGAAGGAGGGCAATGGATATGGGGGAAGGAGGGAAGCAAACGAGGAGGATCTTGATACTGATGAGAAGGAAGAGGAAGAGTGAGGGCGGAGGAGGAGGAGGAGGAGGAGGAGGAGGAGGAGGACGAGGCTCGGCGGACGAGGCTCGGCGGACGAGGAGGAGGAGGAGGAGGAGCAGGAGAAGATGAACATGGCACTGTCACAGCATGTCGCCATCATCCGCCAGGTGCCCTTCCTCAGTATCCCAAGCGGGCCTACGGATGAGCAGGAGGAGGGAAGAGGAGAAACGGCGTTTGACAGTGGGACCCTCTTCAGGGAAGGAGGGGGAGAACGAGGACGGGAATCTCCTCTTTGCGGGCTGAGTCGCAACCGCACCTGGCCAGTGATGCCCGAACTGCGGCCAGCATGACCCCACCCCCGACGAAGACGGGAGCTGCAGGGTGTGTTGTTGACCGGGATTTGGCGGATCTACCTGCCACCCTCATGCGTCGTGCCTGATCCTGAGGTTCCCCTGCGTTCTGTATGCGCTCGGCATGCCTTCGAATTGTTCTCCTCTGCCCACCGCAGGGGCAAAAGGCCGCCTCCCTCGCCGCATGCATATGGTTTGCCAGTTTGCCGACCGAAGGACCGAACCCAGGGCAGCTGCGAGCAGCGTGGAATATGACCCTCTTAGGCGATGCGCCGCGAAAGGGAAGGAGCTTATGGTGGGGCCGCGGAACGTGTGAGGGGTGTGTGCCGACATTTGTGCGGGGACTGCATTGCGTACCCTGCCACTCATGCCTTCGGCGGGGCACCCTGTGAGGCCACGAAGCGCGTGAGGGGTGTGCCGAACTTGGCGCGGGGGCCGCATGCGATACCCTGCCACTGACCCTGCGGGGCCATGAATCAAGCGCTTGAGGGGTGTGCCGAATATCGGCGGGAGGACCTCAAACTATGCCCCGACCATGGGAGCCTTCGGTGGGTCTCCCTGTGGAGCCGCGCGGCGTGTCAGGGATGTGCTGACATGGGCGAGGCCTTCGGCGGATCTCCCTGTGGAGCCTCCACGGGGAGATCCACCGAAGGCCCGTGTGAGGGCTCCTCACACATAAAACGCGGCTCCGCAGTGTGGAGACACGAAGCGTGCGAGCGGTGTGCCGAGATGGGCTGGGGGGCCACATGCGACCCTCGGCCGCTGGGGCCCTCGGAGGAGCTTCTCATGGGGCCACGAGGCGCGGGAGTGTTCGGCCGAGATGGCAAGGGCGGAAAAAAAACCCACCCCGACCCCGACAATTCGCGTTTACTGAACACCCGCCCCAGCAGAATGTCGGACTTTGAGTTTTCGTGTTGGTGCACGGTGCTCAGGGTCAGATATATAACATCCGGCAGCTCAGGGTTGTGCTCGATAGGAGTTGGATTCCTGACCGAAGTGTTTTAGGAATTCCAGTGGTGCATCTCTGTCGCCTCGGGGGGGGAATATGACCAGAGCCCGTTTGGGGTGACGTTAACCTGGCCGGCGTTTGTTAGATTTGGCTTATATCGAGTTCGAGCCTTCATCAAATGGGTGCGGTGGAACAAATAATCGCGTTTACTGAACAGCCCTGGGCGTGTACTAAACAGCCCTGCCCTGTTCGATTCCTTCCATGGGTGCGTTAACTAAACGGCTTCGCCTGTCAGGGTGCTTACTATTGGGGTCGATTTTCTGCTCTCTAAGATAGGCGGGGGGACGCTTTGCGAAGCCTGCCGCTGGGGCTTTCGGTGTAGGGCCACGAGGGGGTTATTTTGGAGCATCGGCCATTGAACGGCGAGGTCGCCACCCATTGAACTCCACGGAGACCGCGAGCACCAGGCCGAGCACTGAGACCTCCCTGAAACGTCAGCGCTGCTTGCTGGATTACGCCATCGTCGTCCCAAGGCGTCCTGACAGCGCACACCACGAGGCCGAAAGCACGCGAGCGAGATATCAACGTTGGCATCCCTGCCGGGGCAGACCGCCGCACTCCTGAAGAAACAAGGACATTTCAATCCCAAACAACGGAGCTGCATGCGCAGATTGCCTCCCATACGCCCGAGACCCTACACCTGTGAATCAAAGGAAAAGGCCACATAGAATTGGCTTCGAAAATTGTGGGACATTCGCCGTGTGACCAGCGTACGTGCGGGCGACATGCCAGAACAGCGAATCAATATCCAGACCCAGCAACACGTTCAGTTGATATATGTGATTGGAAAATGTGAACGCACTTGAGACACAGAAAACGTTGAGGGTATCGCCTGTCGAGGCAAGCCGCCGTACTATCCCAAGAGTACCGCCTGTTGAATCGTGCGCAGCAGAACTGCACCTACCCGCCGCTTCCCAGAACCCACTGTTGAAGTACAAGCCCACCGAGACGCTATGCACGGCGGCCTGGATACAACTGAAAGCGTTGAGCACTTGACCGCGGGAGAAACAATCTACTTACACCCAGTGCCCAAGCAAAACAAAGGCACGCCCACAGGAGGGTAGCTGAAGCCCCCCCAGCCCTTTGGACAGGTGCTGATCAGCGCGCTCGTGAGAGAACTGGGACACGAACACCCAGTGCCCAAGCAAAACAAAGGCACGCCCACAGGAGGGTAGCTGAAGCCCCCCCAGCCCTTTGGACAGGTGCTGATCCGCGCGCTCGTGAGAGAACTGGGACACGAGTTGACCCGCGAACATTGCCCGCTGCACCTGCTCCCAGATCCTGCCAACGCCCACCAGTGCACAGGCAAACTCCTCCTCCTCCTCCTCCTCCTCCTTCTCCTCCTCCTCCTTCTCCTCCTTCCCCCCCCCTCCTCCCCCCCCTCCTCCTCCTCCGAGGCGTGCCCCAAAAAGCGCCGGAGGCGACCCGAAGCCCGCCATCGGCCAAAATGCCTGCTGGGAGACTCGAGGCGCATGTGCTTGATGGGGGCCACGAGAGGGGTGTGCCGAACTGGGCGAGGGGACGCTGTGCGAGCGCAGCCACTGGGTCCCCCGGTGGAGCTCCCAGTGGGGCCACGGAGCGCTTGAGCGGTTTGCTGGGCCGGAACGAGGGGGGGGGGGGGGGAAACCTGCGCGAACGCAGCCTCTGCGGCGCGCGGTGGAGCTCCCCGTGGGATCACGTAACGTGTGAGGCGTGTGCCGAACGTGGCAGGGGGGCGCTGTGCGAACGCAGCGAGTGGGGCCTTCGGTGGATCGTTTTCTGGGGCCACAAACCGTGCGCGTGGTCTGCGCCGAAGTAGCCGCGCGGAGAGCAGACGGCGTCTGGGAATGGCGGGCAGGAGGTGACCATCGAGGGAACGAAAACATGGATTGAGGCGTTTGGACTAGCGACTGGCCCCGCTTCCGCGCAGAATCGGCGCGCTCCGCCGCCAACTCGGGCGGCACTGGCCTCATGCTTCGGGTGGTACTTTCGCCTGTCCGTGGATCCGGCGGCGTTATCTATGAGCGCTATAGACAGAAGCTTTTGGCGCTCCGCGCGGATTTCTTGGATCCGCGCTGGGTCCCCCCCGCGGCGCCTCGGGCGCCGCCCCTGGCGCAATCCGCGCGCCAGAGAGGGGGGTCCAGCGCGGATCCAAGAAGTCCGCGCGGAGCGCCAAAAGTGTATGTTTCTGGAGTTTGTCATTCTTCTATAACGACAGCGTGCCCCCGATGCAAGACGAGGGCACAACTCACACAGGATGGCCAGGAAGAACAAAGAGAGCCCCCAGTGCGGGCAATTTTTTATCCATATCCAGTGCGTCCTGAACTTTCTTGGAAGGGCCGCCGCAAGGCCGAGGCGTTC